GGCAGTGGGTTGCCATGGGCTACCGTATGTAGCCAACAAAAGGACAGCAACTTGTCTGTTCCCCTTCCCCCGATTCCCCAGCGCTGTTCCCCTCCCCCAATTCCCCAATAAAATCTTTAAACAAAAAAAAAATTTAGTATAAAGTATAAAATAGGATAAAGAGTTCGTCATATCCATAACTCCACTTCAGCAAATACCAACGGGAATGGCCAATCTTGTTTTCCTTTCCCCCTCGCTTTATCAGTGTTTATTCCTAGGATCCTGGACCTGGCAGGGAGTAGGTGCTCAGTCTGTGGTTGACAGAGGTGGGTACCTCCTGTGGAAGTCGCAATGGGAAAGGCAAGCTTTACGTTGCACAACCCTCACTCCTGCAGGAACAGGCCCAGGTCTGGGATTCAGGCCAGCAGAGAGGAAGAAGAGACATCCTAGCATATATGGTGACTGTGGCCTGCTGCCCATAGTCTTTCAAGCTATTACTTGGGGGACCACTCAGGATGGATATAGGACTAGAGCCTCTATTTGAGGAAAGCCCTGCTTCTATCTTGATGGGACCCAGCTCTGCAAGGTGGTTTCAAATGGCACTCTATGATGTGTCCTTGTAGAGGTGTTGTGGCAGCATCCCTAAGCCTGAGAATGGGCGTGTCCTGGGGAGCCTAGCCCTGGATGTGCCTGATCACTTTGGGGTCTGGCTCCACTTCTGCCAGTCTGAACCAGCCCCAGGGCTGCATGGTTTGTGCCTCAGCTCTGGCCTTGCTTCTCCTCCCTGCTGGCCTCCAGCACCCATGGACACCTTTCTGGCAGTACCAGTTCCACATCGTGCTCCTAGGACACTCGACTGTGGGCAAATCATGCTTGTTGAGACACTACACGGAGGGCATCTTTATCGAGGGTGTCACCCAGACAGTGGGGGTGGACTTTTCTGTGCACTTCGTGGAAATTGAGCCTGGGGTGCAGGTGAAGGTTCAGTTCTGGGGCACAGCTGGCTAGGAAAGGTTCCAGTGAGTATGGCAGGGGCAGGCCCCTATCCCCAGCCTTCTATACCATCCACCCCTGATGGGGACAGCTCATCTACCAGGAAAGGGACAAAAGGAGGGCCCTTGGATGCCATGTAGGATGGATTCTGGACCAAGAGCACAAGTCTGAGTCCTGGCCTGCCCAGTGACCTAGGGCAGGTCAGAGGACCTCTCTGGACCTGGGTTTTAACCTGTAAAATAAGGGGCTGCACTGGGTGATTCTAGGGGCCTTTCCTTTTTTAACTACAAGTAATGGTCATTGCAAGACCTTAGTCCAGCTTTGCCTTCCTCCTCCCTGCTTGACCTCATGCAGGCACAGGGGACCCTCTCTAGGATGGCTTTCTAGTCCCACATGGCTCCTTCTATGTCCTCAAAACTCACTCGTTGTTGCAACCACCCCCTACTGCTGCCTTTTAGTAAATGCTTTCTCAGGAAAAACCTCTCAAGCCTTCCTTATTCCTTTACCTTTAGTCCAAATTAACTGTAGCAACTTCCTGGCTGGTTCCCTTCTGGTCTGCTTTTGATTCCACTCTTTACACTGGCAGCCAGAGTGAGGCTTTTAACATGTAAATACTAAGGTCTGACAATTAAGTTTGTGAACTTGTTGCAACGATGTTGCTAACCTTTTTTGACATCAGAAGGATTATTCATTATGAATTCGTACCAACTGTACAGTTAACCAAGTTCACTACCTGGAAGTGCAGAAAAGGCTGTGTGAAAAAGTTAGAGGACCTGAACTTTTCCCCAACAATTCATGGCTCTTGCATCACGACAGTGCACCAGCTCACACGGCACTGTCCATGAGGGAGTTTTTAGCCAGTAAACAAATAACTGAATTGGAACACCCTCCCTATTCACCTGATCTGGCCCCCAATTACTTCTTTATTTACCTAAAGATAAAGGAAACATTGAAAGGAAGACATTTTGATGACATTCAAGACATCAAGGGTAATACTACAACAGCTCTGATGGCCATTCCAGAACGAGTTCCAAAATTGCTTTGAAGGGTTGACTAGTGTCCAGCTGAGTGGCTCAGTTGGTTAAAAGCTCACTCATGAGTGCGAGGTCTTCAAAGGTGACCATAGTGATATTCATCAACGAGACATG